CTTTAACAAACTTGCAAGCATGGTATTCTGTATTGCAAAGTCAGTGGAAGTGCTCTAGTGCTTTCCAGTGCAGAAAGGAACACTGTTAGTTTTCAAATGTATCACACTGGGGTAGTTTCCACCTCACCGAGTGCCATAAAACCAAAGGGAAAAATGACAACTTCTAGAGCTTTTTTCATGCTGTTTGTTTTTAAACACATTTTAGTATTTTGTTGGCAGCTAGTGGCTTAAGATTGTATTCCTTTTAAGATTATTCATAAACTGATCACAATCAGAAAAGTGACTGGACCTGGGTTTTGTACTTAGTTGCTCCTTCTGTTGGAAAGAGTCCTAAGTGGAAGCTGTGCTACTTCCAGGTGAAACATCTCCTACCCTTGGAACACTAGAGCTGGAAAAGAGTCTTTGAGAGGAAGCAGAGAAGAACTCCAGAAAACTAGTGTCTCTTCCCCATGTTTTTGGTAGTAACATTTTATATGGAAAAGGGGAGAGGGTATTAATGCAACTCATTAGAGTTTTTTTAAATATCCAGTAGATAAAATAATAGTGTTTTTTATTTTTAATTTTTTGGAAGTGTAAACTATTAGTTGAAATGTGAATCAGGACTGTTCAGACATCATTTATTTGTAACCATCCCCTACTTGCTCCTGCCTCTTGTGCTGTTACGTGTCTTATGGCTTGTTTTATGTGTGGAATCCAATCCACAAGCAATCTTGAGTCAGGCTTTGAAACCAGCTTGCATGGACATTACTTGGATAGTTGTGGTTTTAGATTATCTGTCAGTTGGCTTGACCATCTTTTGCACTGAAGCAGGATCACATCTTTGTGGCTTCTAAAACTGATGCGATTTGTTTTTACAGGAATGGAATAGCAAACTGCCGGATGCGGACAGAAAGCGAACAGTCCTGTGGCTCTCCAGTTGTTAGCGGTGACCCAAAGGAGGATCACAACTACAGCAGTGCCAAATCTTCCAACCACAGGAGCACATCACCTGCTAGTGACTCCGTTTCCTCTTCCTCAGCTGATGACCAGTATGAATTTGCAACTAAAGGTAGCCAAGACAGCAGTGAAGGAAGTGAAGTTAGCTTCCAGAGCCACGAGAGCCATAGTGAAACAGAAGAAGAGGACAAAAAGCAAAATCGGAAGGAGACCAAGGATTCTTTAGCTGACAGTGGGTATGCATCCCAGCACAAGAAAAGGCAACATTTAATGAAGGCGAAAAAAGTACCAAGTGACACACTGCCTCTTAAAAAGAGACGTACGGAAAAGCCCCCTGAGAGTGACGATGAGGAGATGAAAGAAGCAGCAGGATCGCTCCTGCATTTAGCAGGAATTCGATCCTGTTTGAACAACATCACCAATCGGACGGCAAAGGGGCAGAAAGAGCAAAAGGAAACCACAAAAAATTAGAACAAATCAATGATTTGTTTGAACTTACAAAGTTTTGTTTCAGCACGTCAGGTGAATTCTAATGATTTGTGGCAATATCAGCAATTTTTTCCTTTTTTGTTTTTCTTTCTATTTGTTTTTGGTTTGTTTCTTTCTTTTTTTTTCCTTTTTTTTTTTTTTTGGACCCTTAAGATTTTTATTTTTAAAGGAGATTGAAGCCATAGAACTCATACTGACACTCAGCTAATTTACAAAAGCTTTTCATTACCTGAAGACAAAAAGTTAAAAAAAAAAAAAAAAAAGCCAAAATCACCATTGCTTTCTTCGGCTTCTCAAAAATGCATGGTTGAATACGCAGTGACATCAACATTAATGTGATGAGAGTAAAATTAGGCACTTGGAAATCCCTCTTATACTAGAAGAGCTGTGCATAATTTAGTAATCATTCAGGCCTGGCCCTTAAGAATTTTTTTTAATGGCCTTACAATTGGGTTAGAAGTGAGTGTGAATAAAGAGATTTGGGGGAAAGAGGAGGCACGTACTTCTCAACACCCAACCAAGAACCATCTAGTGGCACTTGGATACGTTGTGCCATAGGAGTCTTTGGACAGCCACTGGTGGCAACTGCGCAAACCGGAATGCACTTGTAGTGCTTTTCCTACTATATGTGGCTCATAATGTGAAGACTGATAACTTTTAAGTTTGGGGAAATTTGAATTACGTATGCAATGGGTTTCAGTGAAATAATGAGAAGAAGTGGGAGGGGGGTGCACTGTTAGTAGCATCGTTAATCACTGAATTCTGTCTTCTATATTAAAAGAATGTTCAAAAAGCCATAAGCCCGAAGATTGGCACTGCGTGCAAAAAATAATAGTAATAGGGAAAAACAAGCTATGTCTTCTAAACTGCCTGAGTGAAAAGCAATCAAGTCTAAGAAATTACAGTAGATACTAAGGAAGGAAATACATCAGAATCTTTTTCTGTGGATCAAATCCTTGATCTAACTGGGGAAACAAAGCTACAAAACCTGCCATTAGTAGTATTGTGTATTATAAAAAGAGAAGGAAAGCATATTGGTGAACAGTAAAATTCAGAAGTTCAACAAAAGAGCTCCTACACTGCCCTCAGAAATGAGTGTGCAGTTACCGTCAGTCAGGATTCATCTGAGCAAAAATGACAACAGATGTCGAGATTCAACCAGCGTAGCCAGCAGAAGAAATTTGATCCACATTGCATGGATTCCTTTTGGGAGGGGGGAATACAAAAAGCAAACATTTTTTTTTATTCAAAGATGACAAAGTTCTTGTAAGGTAAATAATGTATTTAGCATGAAGCATGAATTATTTTCATATAAATATAGAAAATAGAGAAAAAGGCTATGCCTCTAATTTTTAAGCCCTTAGGCTTAGAGTTTGTTTTTTTGGGTTTTATTTTTTTGTTTGTTTTGTTTTTGTTTTGGTTCTTTTTTTGTTGTTGTTGGGGTTTTTTTGAAGCAGGTGTTTAAGGTTTAACCTTCTTCAGGGACAAACACTGACTGTTGGGAAACTTACTCTGCAATATTAAAAAATAAAATCTTCATGCTCTGGTAGGGCTTGGATGGTTGAATTATACTGCCTTGTCTGCACATTCAGCCCCCCTCTCCCTACTTCTGTTTAAAAAAAAGAAAAAAAAAAAAAAGAAAAAAGTGTGTCCTTTTTTCGTCTGTACATGTGTAACATGACGCAATAATCTGAGGGCAAATTTAGTAGTGAGTGTGTATGACAGAATCAAGAGAATAACGGGAGGTTAATTGACGAAAACTCTGATTTGTTTCAGGAAAAGTAGACAAGAAAATAGCTTTGCTAATTTGCCATGAGATAATGAAGTTAGGAAAGAGCCTTACTGAGGTGTTCAGAGAAAAACCAGTGTTATAGAGAGTGTGGTTCAGGTATAGTGCGACTCTCCTGGTAGCGATGACTATGCGATTGGAGATCCTTACAGCAGAGGGAAATAAATAAGACAGTCTCTTTCACCTGGGTTCATGAATTTAGCATGAAAAGTTCCACACTTAGAATATCTTAGAGGCAAGAAGAAAATCCCAGGAACCAACCACTTAACAGAACTAAATGGTCTGTTTCTTAAAAATAATATAGGTTTATATTTAGCTCTAACAACTGTTTCAGGCAGCAATTTCACCAAGACGGGTCTAGTTTATGAAGAGTGAGTTAGAGAAGGGTTTGACTTCCCACTCAGTGGAGTGAACTAAAAATTGCATGTGGAGATGCCTGTGGTGTGTGTTCAGTTAGGAAGTGGAACAACTGAAGGGCGGGCTGCTCTGGACCTGTTCCTATGCTCCCTAAGTGTTTTGTCGTGTAAAGAACAGGGCCACAGTGGGGGCAACACAGCAAAATGGTGCCTCTCCTCCCATCTCACCCAGCGTGTCCTGGGATCCAGGAGCTGCCTGACAGCTGCCAGAGCCCAGCACAACTGCCAGCTATGCAGATAAGGAAGGAGAGCAACAAGGATGATGCAAGGAGCAGCTCTGCGCTCCCCTCCATTTGCTGGCACCAGTGGATGCAGGGTTGATTCCTGGATACTAACTTTTGTTGGCTGCCTGCAGCCCTTAAAATAAAGTTGGGGAAAATGGGAAGGACTATTCCCTTGACCAGGTAGCACAGAAATGAATGAGCCATAGCCTTTCCCTTGTGTGACTGGACTGGGATAATCTGCCTCTTCCCACATCCATGCTCCCTGCAGCCAGAATCTGGAGGCAGTGAACCACACAACCCCTGCACAGGAAAACTTGGTCCTCTGTGTTTTCATGGACTTTGGAGACAGCCATTTGAAATATAAAATACTGCAGTATCAGTTTGCCACCACCTTTGCTCATTAACGCATAATTGTACCAGCTGGGGAGTGGGTCAATATTTAGGAAAAAGCAACACTGAAAAGTCAAAGTTTAGTAGCATAAAATACACCCAAACCATGGCTCAGCCATCTCTGGTCTCCAGAGTAAGTGATGTGGTTGTGTGCCGGTGGCCAGATTCTGTCCACAGTCATGACACTCATTCCAGAGCAGCTTCACTGATTGCAGCGTGTCAGTGCAAATGAGATCAGTATCTGCTGAACAACAAGTACCATTCATTAATGTGGACTCTTGGTGGCTAAATATATAACTACCACTAGTACTACCTTAGAAAACAGTCATTTTGCATAAATATCTAATTAGGCAGGTTATATTTATATATATATTTATATATCTATATATATATAGATATAAAATGTGTAATCTATCTAAGACTTCAACAGCTCCTTTGTATACTTGCTGGTAAACCTAAAATGTTGACAAGCATCTATTTTCATGTAGAATTGGTTGCTCCTACTCTGATCCGCAAAGGACGTACTATTCGGTAGGAGTTTACGAAGTTATGTTCAGGAACCAGCAGTTTGGCTGAGGTCTAATGCCATCAACAGATCATTTCTGGAGTTTAAAAACAGCTTCTCTTTATTGACCCTTCCTCTGACTGTTGATGAGAAGTACATAATTTGGATTTGTATAAAATATTTAGGAGTCACCTTTTAAATCATTTTTGTGCCTGGCTGACAATGGCAGCTTTGTCAGAACTGGTCCTACTCCATCAGAGAAGTTATCTTTTTTAATAAAAATTGAGACTGATTTGTTTTCCAAAAAATACAGTGTCAGCTTTTCAATCCAGTTGTCTGTACTTTGACTGAATCATGCCAAAACGGAGTGGCCATTGCACTGTATTACGAACTGTCTCACTTGCCAGACATGAGGTGGTTTGGTTTTGCTTGTTCGCTTTCCTTACTAAGCCATTTTGGGGTGAGAAGTTGTTGAATCTCTAACTTTCCCTTTTCCTTGCTGTATCAGTATTGCCAAATTAGCGTTTCTCCAAGACAGGTCGGGGCTAGGGGAATCCCAGTAGGTCAGCAAGCATTCAGTGACAAATTTCACATAGGCATGAATTGTAAGGGTTGCTGGACTTCATGGCGGGTTCCTTTGGAATATGCCTTTTGCAGCAAGAAGCTCTTGCAGGCCAGAGCTAATGGCACAAGCAGATTTCAGTGGCATCTGCAGGGAGGTGAAATCTGCCAGTCATGCTTGCGTTCTGCAAGCAATTGGATGTCCTACTGCACTTGGATGCAGATTTTGCCTGCATTTAAAAATTCAAGCGCAGGTCTTGAACAGCTTTAATGTATTACCCTACAGCTGTTTCTGAAAGCAGTCTGATTCTGATCTTCTCCTGGCAAAATCAGAAGTAGTTTTACCAAGATCACAGGGTTTTACAGCTCAAAAGCCTGAGGTGGGAGTGAGGAGGTGTGCCATGTAAGGACTAGAGAACTGTCCTGTGACATCTTCTCTATGGCAATTCAGTTGAGGTCCATATTCTGGCTCCTCTCTTGCCTTAATGGGAGAAGGGAATCTCAAAGGCGGTGCATTGGCTTCCAGTGTCCAACTGAATTACTGTCTACCTTTGGAAAAGATACAGAGAAATTCTGGGGGCTGCATTCTTCACGGGAGTGAGGTAGAGCTACATCGACACACCTTATCAGAGAATGAAATTCTAAATTGTACACCAAATGGCACCAGGGATAAAATGACCAAAACAACACTTTGTCCCATTTTCTTGGTAGCTGCAATTGATGTTCACTGAGATTGTGGCTCCCAAGTCATCTAAAGGTGTAGATAGGCACAATCTGAGGTTTTCTGGAACCTGAGGATGTCTGATCTCCTTTGCAGTCAGCGGAGCTGGAGACACCCAAGCGCTCCTGGAAATCTTTACTCTTTCACTATTATTACCATTTTTCCTTGAATCTGGCCCTAGGCATTTTTGAAAACATTACTCTCCTGTGCTCCAGGATCAGAATAAAACTATCGAGAGAAGGCATTTCCAATTTCAGATGCAATGCAATTTACTTCACTTCATGGAGAATGCAAACCCAGCTCCTTCAGGTGTGTCACTACTGCCTGAATAGCTCATTGGCATATTTTATAGGAAATATTTTGAAACGTTTTCTTG